CTTCTGATTTGTGGGACGACCACGCCCTCCACTGGAACCTTTATGACTACCACTACTACTGCCACCGCTGCTATTAAGCTGTGGCACACTCGAGGCTCGAGTAACCATTTTTTTTTTTTCAATATTTTGTTAAGCAGTCGAATCGTTTTTTTATTAATTTTTCAATTAAAAATTTACATCATTTTTATCGTTTAAATGGTTTCAAACATTAATTTAACATTATATTTAATTCACACAAAAAAAAAAATAAAAACACATTTTCACGTTCCGTTACATTTATATTTTAGTAAATTACATGAGAATTGCGTTGTAATTATGACGTATGATTTTTTAATTTCAAATGCCACGAGGGAGGATTTTAATGACCGTCTTTCGTTTGTCCATTAGTTGTGAGTTTTTTCTTTTCTTTTTTTGAAATTTAACCGCCGTTTTCAAGTTTTTTTGTACTGCTCTTTACAAACTGTCAACTCGTACTAATTTTCCCGCTACAAATGGTCAGTATATTAATATCCTTTTTCTATTTTTGTTGTATTAATGTGTGTGCATGTCCTTTTAGTGTATTGAGATTTATGGTAATTTTTCTAATCAAAAAAATGAAAGCTCTCCTGAGCACCTAATAACTGCGGGGTTGACCATAACTATGAATTTGAATACAGTGAATTTTGGATAAAATGAATTAATACCATTATTCGTTTTGCAACAAAAAAATGAATAGTTTATTAGGTTTAGTTTGAAAGGAAAGGAGTTGACCATAACTATGGATTTAGTAGACTATACTATAGACTAGACTGTAGACTAAACTGTAGACTAGACTATAGTCTGGACTATAATCTATTTCAGACTATAGGCCAATAACTTTTCTAATAAAAAAGGTAATTTACTCTCCTGACCTCTTAATAATTGTGAAGTTGACCATAACTATGGATTTAGTAGACTCTAATATAGACTACTCTTTAAACTAGACTACAGACTAGACTAAACAGCGGAGTTGACCATAACTAGGGATTTAGTAGACTATACTATAGACTTTAAACTATACTGTAGACTAGACTAAAACTAGACTATAGTTCAGACTATATACTAGACTATAGACTAGACTATAGTCCAGACTATAGACTAGTCTATAGTCCAGACTATAGACTAGACTATAATCCAGACTATAGACTAGACTATAGTCCAGACTATAGACTAGACTATAGTCCAGACTATAGACTATAGTCGTTAATATGGACTGTAGTCTAGTATACAGTATGGACTATAGTCTGGACTATAGTCTAGTCTATAGTTTTTAATATAATCTAGTCTATAGTCTGGACTATAGTCTAGTATATAGTATGGACTATAGTCTGGACTATAGTCTAGTCTATAGTTTGTACTATAGTCTAGTCTATAGTCTGGACTATATTAAGGACTAGACTATGGTCCAGACTATAGACTAGACTATATTCCATATTAAAGGCTAGACTATAGTCCATATTAAAGACTAGTCCAGACTATAGACTAGACTATAGTCCAGACTATAGACTAGACTATAGACTAGACTATAGTCCAGACTATAGACTAGACTATAGTCCAGACTATAAACTAGACTATAGTCCTGACTATAGACTAGACTATAGTCCAGACTATAGACAAGACTATAGTCCAGACTATATGTTAGTTAGTTAGTTAGTTAGTTTGAAAGGAGGATGTATATACATCAAATCCGAAGAAATACACCTAGGCCTCTATCGGGCCTGTTGTGCGCTCCTTAACCAGTGCCTCAGGTGGGAATCGAACCCACCACCTCCGGTCTACCAGACTAGAACACTAACCACTAACCTACCGGAGGCCAGACTATAGTCCAGACTATAGACTAGACTATAGTCCAGACTATAGACTAGACTATAGACTAGACTATAGTCCAGACTATAGACTAGACTATAGTCCAGACTATAGACTAAATTATAATCCAGACAATAGACTAGATTTTAGTCCAGACTATAGACTTGACTATAGGCTAGAATGTAGTACATACTATAGACTAGATTATAGCGCAGACTGCAGACTATAGAACCACTGTAACCTTTATAATTAAGGCCCCCAGACCTCCCAGTTCAAAGCTAGCAGTGTAAAAACAGATTTGAGTAGGCGTTTACTCTAATGTTTCAATTGACCACGGTCTCTTATATGAAACAATATCTCAGAGATCTGGACGTGTTTTGTTTCTGGTATGTGATCGGATATGCTTGGCATACGTTAACAACATGTCTAGAATTGCTCTTTGGGCTCCAAAATGATTCAATGAGAATACCCAAATGTTAATACATTTGACCTCCATTGTTTATGGGTTGAGATGGACTCATGAACAAATTTTAACCAAAACTAATTCGACACTTAAGCATTCGCCCTCCATTATGACATTTCCTTTCCACTGTCTATGTTATATTCATTATAGTATAGTTCCACTGTATGCTGTTAAGTTATTTGAGTACTTAAAAAATTATAGTATAAAATTTAGAGAGTCATTGATTCTTTTATTCATTCATTCACTGTGCAACTCTCGCTCTCTTTAACTTTGGGATTATTTATTGTTTAACATTAATAACCTTGTCCCATGACATGTCTGTGCATGTCAATCGTGAAAATATATGTAGTTATAAAAAAAACAAATTCGTTGCAGGACTATACGAAATAACAGTTAGTAGTTCGTATATTGTTGCAAGAGAAAAATACGGTTATGTTAAATAAACTTACATTTATGTGAATGCATGTTAGTTGTTATTATTCATTCAACAATAATGGCGGGAAAATAATAAAGCATACAGAATTTTTACTCTAAAAACATTCCACATCAAATAGTAAAAAAAACTAACATTTAACTGTCCTATAAACTTATAGCTCTTTCGGTCCTTTTTTCTAAATTACCGAATTATTTCTCCATCTGTGCAATATCAGGCAGACATTGTTTATATTTCCTTTCCTTGAAATCTAAAACAATGTTCTGATGACTTGTCACTTTTTCATTTGAAATTACCACAAACTCTGTTGTTTATACCTATTACGCGTAAAGTGTTTAAACAAACTCATTGCATTTCCGGTTGTAAGTATCAACAACAATTAAATTACAATTATGTCTTCCAGTTCAAAATGAAAATCCACCCTTGTTAAAAATATTTAACTTTATTCTCACATTGCGTTGAAAAGTGGATTTACTTTTTTGAAAAATAACACAGGAAAACAAAATTGTAAAAAGTGGAAACACAGAGTCCAAAAATCCACACACAGTTGAGAAGTTGTAATAGCGCAAAAGGATACAAACTGCCGACTCTAAAATAAAAGTTTAACCCCTGCTTCGCACTTCGAGACTTACTAACTAACTAACTATTTAGTTTGAAATCAAATCCGAAGAAATACACCTAGGCCTCTATAACTACTAACTAACTAACTAACTAACTAACTAACTAACTAACTAACTAACTAACTAACTAACTAACTAACTAACACTACTAACTAACTAACTAACTAACTAACTAACTAACTAACTAACTAACTAACTAACTAACTAACTAACTACTAACTAACTAACTAACTAACTACTAACTAACTAACTACTAACTAACTAACTAACTAACTTAACTAACTACTAACTAACTAACTAACTAACTAACTAACTAACTAACTAACTAACTAACTACTAACTAACTAACTAACTAATTAATTAATTAACTTACTTACTACTTACTTACTTACTTACTTACTTACTTACTCCTTACTTCCTTCTTCCTTACTTCTTACTTCCTTACCTCTTACTCTTACTATCCTTACTTCCTCTTCTTACTTCCTTACTTCCTTACTTCTTACTTCCTTACTTCTTACTTACCTTACTTACCTTACTTACTTACTTACTTACTTACTTACTTACTTACTTACTTTACTTCTTACTTACTTCCTTACTTACTTACTTACTTACTTACTTACTTACTTACTTACTTCTCTTACTTACTTCTACTTACTTACTTCCTTACTTACTTACTTACTTACTTACCTTACTTACTTACTTACTTACTTACTTACTTACTTCTTACTTACTTACTTACTTACTTACTTACTTACTTACTTACTTACTTACTTACTTACTTACTTACTTACTTACTTACTTACTTACTTACTTCTTACTTACTTACTTACTTACTTACTTACTTACTTACTTACTTACTTACTTACTTACTTACTACTTACTTACTACTTACTTACTTACTTACTTACTTACTTACTTACTTACTTACTTACTTACTTACTTACTTACTTACTTACTTACTACTTACTTACTTACTTACTTACTTACTTACTTACTTACTTTACTTACTTACTTACTTACTTACTTACTTACTTACTTACTTACTTACTTACTTACTTACTTACTTACTTACTTACTTACTTACTTACTTACTTACTTACTTACTTACTTACTTACTTACTTACTTACTTACTTACTTACTTACTTACTTACTTACTTACTTACTTACTTACTTACTTACTTACTTACTTACTTACTTACTTACTTACTTACTTCTTACTTACTTACTTACTTACTTACTTACTTACTTCTTACTACTTCTTACTTACTTCTTACTTACTTACTTACTTACTTACTTACTTACTTACTTACTTACTTACTTACTACTTACTTACTTACTTACTTACTTACTTACTTACTTACTTACTTACTTACTTACTTACTTACTTACTTACTTACTTACTTACTTACTTACTAACTACTGACTAACTAACTATCTAATTTCAAATTAAAAAGTTTCATTCCCGATTGCATTATTCTCAAAATTACAAAAAATAAATACACTTACTTCTTATGATTTTTTTTACTTTCTAAATTGACAGCACTGTTTTTTTTAGTTTGTTTTGTGCAAAAATTCCCATAAAAAAGAGAAAACGAAAACAAAACACACAACAAGAAGAAAAATAAAAACTTAACGAATCTTTTTTTATTTTATAAATTCTGCCATTAACAAACGCCGGCGACACGAGGAAAGAGAAGCGAATTTTTGTAGTGATTTTGCAAAGCAACATAATAAATGTGCTTCGAAATACCAAGTGATTTGCAAAAGATTATTTTTTCATAATTTAATAATAATAAAAAAATAAAATCAGAAAATTAACTTATTAAAAAAGGTAATGTGCAGTTAATTCTATAAACGAAAATTAAAGTGTGAAAATACAGTTAAAAGTAGAAAAATTAATTTAACACAAATATGTGAAGCGAAAAAAACTGAAGCAGACAGTACGTGAAGAAGAAGCATTACAAATGTTTTGTGTGTGCAAAAAAAATCTTAAATAAAAGCAAAAGTGTTGATGCAAAAAAAAAATTAAAAAAGGGAGACGTTATAGACATCATATTATAAATTAGTAAATTTTTATGATTTCCTTAACAAATAGCAAATGTTATAAATAGAAATTATTAATTAAATTTATTTTGCTTCGTAATTTTCATTTCCATTTGGAATATTAAAACGTTGGTTCTTTGTTCTAGGTAAAATAGGAAAAGTAAAAAAAAAATAGCTGAATAGCGTATAACGTGAGTGTAAATATAAAGGGTGCTTCAAATTTAGCTAAAATTATTATTGCAAAGATGTTTGTTTCAAATGGAATCACATCAGATTGTTTGTTGAAGCTCCTTGTGTACCTATAAATAAAAATCCACAAACATCAATTTGAAAGTCTTAATATTTCACAACCTTATGATATTTCGGTTTCAATTGAGAGGCATTTATTCAAAAACTTTGATTTTAATTGAGAAATTCCAATTGGATTTTGCATTTGTTAAGAACTATATGACTTCTCAACAACCCTGCGGAAGGATACTTGTATTTAGATTACCCTTTATAAGCACTGTTGTCAATTCATATTTAATATATCCTTCTAAACAGTTTATTCAACCATTATTTCGGGATGGAAATAATAACACAGGCCGACAAAATTTGAAAAAAGTCAAAACCCTGAGTTAAGCGTTTCTAAAGGATTAAGCAGCGCTAAATCCGAATCTTGGATTTTCTACATCTCACCTGGGATTTGAGATATCGTAATTTTTGGCCCTTTATTTTTAAAAAGGTTTATCTGATACATTCTTCTTTGAGATTTCTTCATTAAAAGCTTGAATGATTTTGGTGTATTCATAGTTTTTATAACTTGAAGTACTATAGTGCGGAGGGTATTATGCTTAGTAAAAAAACATAGGATCCACACCAATCCCAGGATGTGCTAATTGACTAAAAATCACTTTCTCACTCGACTTAACGATGTCTGTCCGTCCATCAATTTCAATGGATGATATCTCAGCAACTACAACAGATTTTAAAACAATTCAGAAGGCATTTTCATAGGAACAAATGTGAACAATTGTAATGTCCAAATTTTTGTGTCAAATAAAAGCGAAATATCTGCAGTTTTTTATATAATGTGTAGTGATGTTGTGAAGTTATTGTTTTATTGAATTCTTGGGTAATTATGGACCAAGTTGTTCTGAATTTTAAAGTGTAATTCCTTAAAAAAAATGTCCACTTTTATCATTACATTTAGAACAATTAACTAATGATAATCTGGTTTTTGTATGAGAGATTAGATGGGATAATGACCAATTCTTAAAACATTTGCTAGAGAGATATGGTTTCTATAAATGTTCTTTCGTCGAATTCACCGCTGTAATGGATAAATTCAATATGAACCATCTTTTTTGATGATAACCGATTTGTATTCTATAGAAAAAAGTTTTAATTGAAAATTATATATGTATGGATAACAGTTTTCTCAATAAATTCTATAAAACATAAACGAAATATCTACTCATTAAAAAGGCGTTTTTTTTTGTTTTCTTAATTTTAGTGCTTTTGCGAAAAACTAAAAGATTGACAACCCCTCGTACACACATTGCGAAATAATAGCGTTTGGTTTTGTTTGTGAGGTGAAGTGGAGAGTAAAACAAACGTTGTAGAACAAACAACAAGAAAAGAAACACACAAAATAAAAAAGGTAAAAGTTGAAAAATTAAATTACCGGTTGCTTGTTCTAGCTCCTTTTATACTCTCCCTAATTAAAAAAAAAAACGAAGATTCTCATGATAATTTAGTATTTTAGAAGTTGAATTTATTTAGAAACAACAGATGTCTTCGAGTCCTCAAGTAGAACAAGCAGCTTCCTCCTCGACTCTTGAGCAACCAGCAGCCAAGAAACGGAAGCTTGCATCGAACTCTTCGCCAACCTCCACTAGCCCTCCTCTAAATAACAACAATATTAGCGGAAGCGGCAACAGCGAAGCCGACGTTGATACGACCAGCTGCAGCAACGACGCCGTCAGTAGTGTTAGTGCTAGCGGTGGTGGCAAGAAAGAGCCAGCTGGTGTTGATAGTTCGTTAGTATCGTCGTCCTGCTCAGTTGTTTCGTTAAGTGGTGAAAACGCAGCCGGCTCATTCGTTTCAACAACGGGCGAGAGTAGTGGCAGCAGCGGCGGCATTATTAGTACATCGTCAGCAGTGGATAAAGAAAGCAAAGTTATAAAAAGTGTTGACCAGAAAACTTCCTCGTGTATTGTTGAGCAACAAAAAGAAGTAGTGGACTCCAATAAAACGACAACAAAACAAAAAACTGCAGCTAATAACTCAGCGGTCTCCTCGACAACCAGTAATAATAGCACCAACACATCAACAACAACAAACAGCAGTAATAACACGGATACAACAACAATGGCTACGAACTCCCAAAATGCTAGTGGAACTGCTGGATCTTCCGCTGGCAATGATATTGATGAATCTTTATACTCGCGCCAATTGTATGTATTAGGTCATGATGCTATGCGTCGTATGGCCAATTCGGACATTTTATTATCCGGTTTAAATGGTCTGGGCTTGGAGATAGCTAAAAATGTCATCCTGGGTGGTGTTAAATCCATCACTTTACATGACACCGATAATTGCACAGTAAGTAAAGTTGTTTTTTTTTTCTTTAATTATTTTAATTGGAAAGAAATGTATAGTAAAGAAAATTTAACTATTATCGATTTGTAAATTGTTTGTTGTTGTTTTTTTCTGTTCCAAAAAAATAATGATTCAAAATCGATTTTTTCATTTGTGCAAAAATGTAGAATAAATGAAAATTTATATTTTTTTGGTTAGGTTTTTCTCCCTCCCATTTTTTTCTCTTCTTTTTTTCTGATGTTTTTTATTGTTTCTCGTTGTCAGGCAAAATAAGAAAAAAGAAAAACTTGTATTAATTCATGCTGCAATATAAAAAATGTAGAGATTTTTTTATTTTCTTAATCGGTATTAAAGTAATTTCTCATGAAAAAAATTTTGTTTTAAAAAAGCCATTGTTAAAAATGAAGAAAGAAAAATTTGTTGTTGTGTCATTGTATTTCTACTCCATATAAAAATATACGCAAAAGTTCATACATACATATACATTTCTTTTACAATTCCCCCCATTTTTTTGCATTGATTTTTGTATGTGTTTGTAGTGTTGTTTTAATTTTCTCCATAATTCTCTTGTTTTTTGCAAATTTTTCTCAATGCTGCCAGATGTTTTATAGGTTTCGTTAAGTTCTTATTGATTTGTTTTGTTGTTCTTTTGTTGGTTTAGTTTTGTCTGGCAATGTAGTTTTAGTTGTTTTGTTTTAATTATTAGTTCATATAGTGTTTTTTTTTTAATTTTTAATTATGATTGTAGTTTTTTTTTGTTAATATAAAGTAAAAAAAAAAAAACGAAACTGAGTCATGCAATTCATCATATTTATAAAAATGTTAGGCACCTGCACGTCACAAAAACTAAGTGCAATTACTAATTTTAAGTCACCACTTTCAGTTTTAAAAATGGTTGGATTTAATGAATTTTTTTAGGTAAATGAGAAATTTTATTGCTCAAATGTTAAGATGAAATACAATATAAACGATTTATTCTGACAAATGATTTACCCTTATAAATTCTGTACAATTAGGTCTACTTTTGACCCAAACAAACTTCGTAAAAAACTTTTTTCGAAACAGCATTAGAACCCCTCTTAATTTTGTCCATTCAGTCCATATAAGGTCTTCCTCTGTTTATCAATTTAATACTCTGATATATAATCGACCTTGATTGCATTTGTTCCTCTTAATTTCACCATATTTAATAAAGTTTATTATCAAACAATTACAAAGTCCATTTTTAATTTTGTCACAAAACTATTTTTAATATTTTATATCAAAGCTTTAAGAAAGATAAACAACTTCTGTTTTAATGTTTTGAAGTGATGTTTCCTTTATTCTGTTGATGATTTGCGTTATAATCTAGTTCTTAGAATAGTAGACTAGTCAATAGTCTAGTTTCTAGATTAGAACGTAGACTACTTCATAGAAAAGTTCTTGAACTTGTTCATAGTTTAGTTCCAAGACTATAGTTTCACAAATTGTCAATAGACTCGTTCCTATACTAAACTATAGACTACTTAATAGAGAAGTTCTTAGACTATAATTTCCAAGACTGCTAGTGTCTGGGATAGTTTTTAGACTGGCTCATAGAATAAACTACTTATAGTTTCAGAAATAGTCAACAGACTAGTTCCTATACAAGTTCATAGACTAGTACGTAGGCTACACACTAAAATAGTTGGTGCACATGTCCACAGGTTAGCTCCTAGACTAGTCCATGAATTAGTGCGTAGACTAGCCCTTGGATTAAACTATAATTTCACGAATATTCCATAAACTAGTTCCTAAACTAAGCCGAAGACTTAATTCTTGAATAGCTAGTCTAGCCAAAGATTAATTCATAAACTAGACAAATACTAATCAATAGCCTAATTCTTAGACAATAGACTAGATTAATCGAAATACATTTAATAATTATTGTTTTAAAAATTTCTTTTTGCAGATCAATGACTTCTCTTCACAATTCTATCTCTCCGAAGCGGATATTGGTAAAAATCGTGCTGTTGCCTCCTGCGACAAGCTATCGGAATTGAATAATTATGTACGCACTTCATCATATACCGGAGAATTAACTGAAGATTTTATTAAGAAATTCCGTGTCATTGTCTTAACCAATGCCAGCGATGCTGAACAGCATCGTATTGCAAAAATTACACACGCCAATAATATCGCTTTAATTATTGCCGAAACATGTGGTCTCTTTGCCAAGGTCTTTTGTGATTTTGGTGAAAACTTTACCATTTACGATCAGGATGGTGCCCAGCCTATCTCAACAATGATTGCTAGTGTTACACGTGATTCACAGGGTGTGGTCACATGTCTAGATGAGACTCGCCACGGTTTGAATGATGGTGATTATGTGACCTTTTCCGAAGTACAGGGTATGACTGAATTAAACGGTTGTGCTCCTTTGAAGATTAGTGTTTTGGGTCCTTATACCTTTAGCATTGGTGATACCAGCAAGTTCAGTGATTATATTAGTGGTGGCATAGTGACACAAGTGAAAATGCCCAAGACTATTAGTTTCAAGTCTTTGGAAGTGGCCGAAAAGGAGCCAGAGTTCCTAACATCTGATTTTGCTAAATTTGATCATCCCGCAACATTGCATGTTGCCTTCAAGGCTTTGCATCAATATAAAGAGGCAAATGGTGGCAAATCACCACGTCCTTGGAGTGAGGAAGAGGCTCAGAAATTCTTGCAATTGTGTAAAACTATTGATGAAAATGTGGTTGAAAGCTTAGTGCTAACATTCGCCAAAATTTGTTCGGGCAAGACCTGTCCCATGGATGCTGCCATGGGTGGTTTAGTGGCCCAAGAAGTATTAAAGGCTTGCAGTGGTAAATTTACTCCCATCTATCAATGGCTGTACTATGATGCTATTGAATGTTTGCCCGATGGTGGTGTGGAGGAGGCTAATGCCCAACCCGTAGGCTCCAGATATGATGCCCAAATTGCCATATTCGGCAAAAAGTTCCAAGAGAAATTGGGTGATATTAAGTAGGTGTTATAATGTTTATGAAATCTAAGTCTTTTTACTAATTATTTTATTTTGTCCAGGTACTTTATAGTGGGTGCTGGCGCTATTGGTTGTGAGCTGATTAAGAACTTCGCCATGATTGGTGCTGGCATAGGCAATGGTCAACTCTTTATTACTGACATGGATCTCATTGAAAAATCGAATTTGAACCGTCAGTTCCTCTTCCGCCCGAAAGATGTTCAAAAGCCCAAAGCTCAAACTGCAGCCGCTGCCATCAAGCAAATGAATCCGGATGCCAAGATTACCGCCTACGAACTGCGTGTTGGTGCCGAAACTGAAAAGGTATTCTCTGAAGATTTCTTTGGCAAATTGGATGGTGTTACAAATGCTTTGGACAATGTTGATGCTCGTATTTATATGGATCGCAAATGTGTTTTCAATCGCATTCCCCTGGTAGAGTCTGGTACTCTTGGCACCATGGGTAATGTCCAGGTGATTGTACCCTTCTTAACTGAATCGTACAGTTCATCACAAGATCCCCCAGAGAAGAGTATACCCATTTGTACTTTGAAAAATTTCCCCAATGCTATTGAACACACTTTGCAATGGGCACGCGATTGTTTTGAGGGCATATTCACACAGACAGCTGAAAATGCTGCTCTCTATGTGTCAGATCCCAACTTTATTGAACGTACTCTGAAATTGTCGGGAGTACAACCTTTGGAAACTTTAGAATCTGTTAAGGTAAGGAGGAAATTTTTAATAATGACAAGAAATGTTTAAAATTTTTATACTTAAATTTGCAGAAAGCATTAATTGATGACAAACCTAAAGACTTTGCTGATTGTGTTAAATGGGCTCGTCTCTATTGGGAGGAACAGTATGCCAATCAAATTAAACAATTGCTGTACAATTTCCCTCCAGATCAAGTCACCTCCAGTGGAGCTCCCTTCTGGTCGGGACCCAAACGTTGTCCAGTTCCTTTGGCATTTGATGTCAATGATCCCTTGCACTTGGATTATGTTTTGGCTACAGCTAATCTACGCGCTGAAGTCTATGGCATACCACAAGTTCGTAATCGTGAAATTGTAGCCTGTCTGGTACAGCAAATTTCGGTAAGTTAGACTAGAAATAATTATTTGTAGTAAAACACTAATTGATGTTTGTCTTTTGATAAAGGTGCCCGAGTTTAAACCACGCTCTGGTGTTAAAATTGAAACCAACGAAGCTGCTGCGGCCGAAGCCAATCATCATGACTCTTCGGAAGTCGATCAGGATCGCGTCAATAAAATACTCAACGAATTGCAGTCATTGGACAAAGCCAGTTTGAGTATTAATCCTTTGCAATTTGAAAAGGATGATGACAATAATCTACACATGGACTTTATAGTGGCCGCCTCCAATCTAAGAGCTGCAAATTATAAAATTCCACCCGCTGATCGCCACAAGTCCAAGTTAATTGCTGGTAAAATTATGCCAGCCATTGCTACCACCACCTCCCTGGTATCTGGTTGGGCTGTATTGGAAGTCATCAAACTTATTATGGGGTAAGTTAAACCATTCCATTCCTTTCTTGGTTTAAAATTCTAATAAATTTCGTTCCCTCTTCTATAGACACAAAGATCTGGCTAAATTCAAGAATGGTTTTGCTAATTTGGCTTTGCCATTCATTGCCTTCTCTGAGCCTCTACCAGCTGCTAAAAACACCTTCTATGGCAAGGAATGGACATTATGGGATCGTTTCGAAGTGCCCGGTGAAATGACTCTACAAGAGTTTTTGGACTACTTTGAACAGAAGGAAAAACTTAAAATCACCATGTTGTCAGCAGGCGTTTCTATGTTGTTCTCATTCTTTATGCCTAAAGCCAAGTGCGCCGAACGCCTGCCTTTGCCTATGTCGGAAGTGGTGCGCCGTGTCTCCAAGAGACGCATTGAGCCACATGAACGTTCTTTGGTCTTTGAAATCTGCTGCAACGATGAGGAGGGAGAAGATGTTGAAGTACCCTATGTGCGGTACACTTTGCCCTAAAGTTATTCATCATATAATAAAAACTTAACATAAACAAACATCTCTACACAAACACCAATAAACATTAAAAAAATTCAAAAGAAAACCACTTTGCTACCCCAGTACATTTTTTTTAAAAAGATTTCTTTTTGGCAGTTTAACTGAAATTCTTATAATCTTTTTTTTTATACATACAAACTAATAACATGAGAGACAACAAAAAAAGTTAAATAAAAAGAAAAATATTATAAAATATTAATAAAAATAAGTTTATCAATGCGAATTTTAAGCGTTTAACACTAACACAAACACACTCCCTCATATACACACATACTTAAACTTTGTAATCCCTGCCCCCTTTCCCCTTCTTTTAACCCTCTCAAATATCTATTTCTTTATATAGAAAGTAGTTTTATTTTCAAAACAAAAAAACACGTAAAATTATGCATTCATTTCTTGATGTATCAACAACAACAACAACAATGGCTGAGAAATACTAAAAGAAAACAAAGAAACATTGTATTTGCAAATTAAATTTAAAATTTAATTTTTCTATGGAATTAATAAAAAAAACATTAAAAACAAACAAAAACAAAATTTAAATTATAACACACAATAAACGAAACACAAAAAATCTTACGATATTTCTCTTAATGGAGGGAGATAGTAAAGAGTTTTTGGGCTTAAAGAAGTTTTCAACCAGTAACTTACGGTTTGTAAGGGATATACAAGCATTCTCTGTTTAGTCTAGAATCTAGACTATAGATGACCTCTGTCTACCGGACTAAAACACTAACCAGTTACCTACCGGAGGCAACACCATGGTATCTTAGAATGAACTAAACATAAACCTTAAATCCTTACAAGTTGTTGGATTTGTTCTTGGCACTGTAAGGTTCCGATATAGGAAGCACGACAGGACCAAAGAAGCTGCAAGTGATGCAAATAAATCTGCATTACTGTGAGGTAGCTTCAGCCGATTTAGAAATTTTCTTTATCAATTCTACCTTGGATTAATAACAAAGTTTTTGGTTTATGGGTCAAGGTATACTTCCACCACTGAGGACTAGGTAAAGACATGTATCCTGACAAAGAATGAATACGTTTTTCATATTTATTTAATGGTCACCGTAATCAAAAGAGAAGCCAAGGGTAAGCGTACGTTCACGCTGGCTTTACTGTATATACCCACCCGGCTCTATGGTGCGTGAGCTGACGGCATATGCTAAAAGATTCTTGTGGAGGGCTGTGATGCTAATGCCAACGGGGCAGTAAGGATACCAATAAAAGTGGTGATTTACTGTTTAACAAAACAATCGCAGCATCTGTAAAATGGGCAATACGCCGACTTTCAGGTAAAAGGATAGAGAAGCAGTTAAAGATTTAATATTGATTAACCTTTTATATGATCTCGCTAGAGATTGGAAGGTTGCAACAGATAGTTCTTTTTCAGACTATAGTCGCACTGAATTTTGATTTGACTTCCTAGTCAATAAACATTTTAAGGATCCATGAAAGTCAAATTGGGATGTCTTTAATGATATAAGGTTAAGACTGGGTGGGCACAACAGGCTTTATGGAATTTGTTACCGAGTTAGAATAACAATTTCACGGACCTACCAAAGCAAAGATATGCGCCATCTTGTCCGGTTACCTTTTCGTGCAAACGTCAACAATCTAAGTGGTGGACTAAGGAACTTAGAATTCAAAGGACGATTGTTAGAAATTGCTAAGGTCAAGCAACTCAAATGTGCTTCATCAAGTATAAAGCGGAAATCGAAAGAGCAAAAAGGATTTCACTGTTCCAGTGCAGTAAATCCATTGACAATGTCAACGGGTTATAAAGATTCTTACAGATATTATCCAAAGACCCAAAGGTCATAAGGTATTTACAAGGGAGTGATATACATACACTGTTCTCTGGTACACTAGTTCTACTTATGGAAACACATTTTCCGCGTTGTCTGGCAACAGTTATATAGAGCACATAGTCACTACGCCCGCATATTTCATGCTATACTAACTAACTTGTCTAAGGCGCTTTATTGTTTTTGGGACATGCCTTAGCAGTAGGTAGTTACTAAGATCGTGAAGACAAGCCACTCAAAGCCTAAGGATTTCAAACGCATCAGCCTTTTCTCTTTGAAGACTAATAGATCTACATCTGAGGACTATAGACTAGACTATGATTAGACTATAGATTAGACTATAGAATAGACAATAGAATAGACTATAGATTAGACTATAGACTAGACTTTAGACTAGACTATATTACAGGCTATAGACTAGACTCTAAAGTAGACTACAATCTAGATTATAGACTGAACTATAGACTAGTCTATAGACTAGATTTTAGAGTGGATTATAGTCTAGTCTTTAATCTAGTCAATAGTTGACTAATTATCAAAAGTAAGAAAAAGTACTGAAAAAAAGTACTAAAGTACTCAATTTTCCATGCCAGATAGTTGCCATACTCTTACTGACATTTTAGATATAGAGGAGCTTTCAATAACATAAAGATTGAGGCGATTAGGGATTCGTTTCTAGGGCTCGAGCTTCAGGACTTCCTGGTAAAGTATATAATCTGCAGCGGAATTATACACACGAACCAGTGGGACAAAACAGGGTAGTTGTTCAAAACTGCCCTACGGACTGTAACGGGCTGCATGCAAATAATCTCGGAGCACCACCTATATGAGGAAACGAAGGTCCTCCCAGTCAAGGAACATAATGTTATGCTGACTAAACAGTCACCGGAGGAGCCATCCAAACATTAACATCACCCAGTTGTATGCTCCCCCGAGGCATGTCAGGAAGTACCTTCGTGTATACGAGGAGAGCATACGAAGATATGCGCAGGTTCCCTTGGATCGAAGTTCGTATACAGCAGCTTTGAACGACATTCATAGAGACGCCATCAATACCGCGGTTTCAGGTTACCGCATGAATGTCGTTCTTGGAGGTCGCCCACCGGCCATAGCAGAAATAGAGAAGAACCTGCGGCGGAAAACAAAAGTTGCTCTGACACAACTGAGATCGGGATGGAGCAACAGGCTTAACGTCTACTGGTCCCGCATAGACCGTGCCGTCCCCAATATATGCCCTGCATGTGGACAGGGTCCCCATGATACCCACCACATTTTCAACTGTCCGGCCCACCCTACTTCACTTAGCCCAATGGATTTATGGACTAACCCTATTAGAGGTATTTGAATTAAAGGTTTGAAGATCGTTGTCTATGAGAATGTCGTGTCAAGGTAACATTTCTATTTACGATTAGTGACATCATGGAGACTGTACTAGGCGAGCTCTTGTTATGGGTAAAAGATAAAGGACTAGGCGTAAATCCTGGGAAAAGGGAACTTTGTATTATTTAGCAGAAAGTTTAAGGTAGACAACTTCAGGCTGCTAAAGTTAGATGTCGTCGAATTACTTAACTATATATTTAGGGACTTTCCGTAATAGTGAGCTTTCATGGAAAGAAACAACTCAGGAATGAATGAAAATGGGACTCAAGACACATCCAAGAATTTCGGTCTGCAACTTGACATGGTAAATTGGAATTATCTACGTTATTATAAAGAAAAGACCCTAAGATGTAAAATATGAATATCACTAAAGCTAAAAAATTTAGCCAAAATCGTTCATACTTATAAACATGTCGATTCTGTTCCACCGAGTAACATTTGTAGAGTGTCTTCGTGATGTTTAAATATCTGTAGAGTACATAAAAACTTCGACCAAACAGCATCAACTTTTTCAAAATAATTACCAAAAAAACAGTATGAGAATTGAAATAGAAAACTAAATAGTTGATTGATCTACAACAAAAAATTGTGAATTTTAAATTGTTGACATGTGATAAACAAACAAAACAACGCTCTTGATACAATTTGCAATAAATTAATTTAAATTTAATACTTTTTGTGTTAAAAAACACTCACATTTATAACAAAAACTATATTTACTGTCGGCATCTCACTCTCTCGATCTTTGCGATAATCGAATTCAGCATCTCATCCATTTTTTCGTTTTATTTGTTAAATTATTACAGTCTGCTAATTAGTTAATTTTATGTTTTTTGCTGTTGTTGTTAATTTTGTTTATAATTTTTGTATAGAATACTTAACAGTTTAGAATTAATATTACTATTTAGCGTTTAGTCTCGTTACTCCTCTCAATTGTTTCTTTGTTCTTGTGCTTTCACCGACTCTGAGTAAAAAAATTATTTTTCAAAATATTTAAATTATTTTTCAGTTTAGTGCTGATAGGAAATCATTTTAATTTTCAATTTATTAGTCTGTTTTGTGCCTTTTGGAACGGGTGTTTTCTGTGAAAGAAAAGTCTTAAGTGTTGGTACGTGCTCGTTCGGAGCGATAAATCAACTTTGATTTTAAGAAAATATTTTGCGATAATTGTGTTAATAATCATAATTTAATTTTATTTAATTCTGTAATTTGAAGATTTGTTGGTTTTATGAAAAAAAAACTAATGGAAAATGTAAAATTTTGTTCTAAATAACTGTGAATTTGTTTAAAATGGTTGTAAATCTTGTAACAAAGAAATCACAAATTGAAAAATAGTGTAATTGTTAAATTTATTTAACGATTTAGAATAACGGGTGTCGGAAGTTTGTTTAAAAATAAATATATGCTGTTCTTCTGTTAAAATTCTGAATGAAGCAGTTATAGGGACAAGATAACTGTTAGGAACAGAAAGTTGCAACGCAGCCACATTTTTGAAGTATTTACATGGGGAGTCTTTATTTTTTTCGAACCTTGGCGTTATCCTTGTTATCCTGAAGTATGAACTGAACTAGAACTGAACTAGAACTGAACTATAACTGAACTAGAACTGAACTAGAACTGAACTAGAACTGAACTAGAACTGAACTAGAACTGAAATAGAACTGAACTAGAACTGAACTAGAACTGAACTAGAACTGATCTAGAACTGATCTAGAACTGAACTAGAACTGAACTAGAACTGAACAAGAACTGTACTAGAACTGAACTATAGCTGAACAAGAACGGAGCTAGAACTAGAACTGAGCTAGAACTGAAATAAAACTGAACTAGAATTAAACTAGAACTGAACTAGAATTGA